AAGTTGTCTGCAAGTTGGGTGACTTTCAAGGACCCAGATTCACATACTTCTGCTGACCTGTAATTTGTCAAAACCATAACCTGAGCTCTGCAACTCCTATCAAGGACTTCCACCACTCAAATTAAAGCTAAGAACAAGCTCTACAACATTCATGTTGTGGGGAAGATGAGATATCAATCACATCTAGAGCTAAAACTGCCTGGAAAATAGGGATCAAATTAGGGTTTTTTCACTGACGATCCTCAGAAACCCTGACTTGAAACTTCTCAAACTCCTCAATCATGATGAGTTGGTCTAGGAATCATCTTTATAACATCTCTATGCATCATTCCATGATCTCATGGCCCTTGGATTAGGTCTCAACCTTCTCCAAATCTTCAGCTGATCTAGGGTTGACCCAGTCAAAACCCTAATTCTATCATTCATGGTTGAATCTCCTGAATTCTTGCATAATGACCTCTCTGGGCTTCATGAAGGCTATCAAGACATCTCAAAGGCTTTCTCAAAACATCAAGTTCATTCTCAAAGTCTCAGAATCATCTGAGGAGCACCCACAACTCTCAAGCTATGAAGCACACAACCCTGGTTTCAACCCACTCCTCTGGGGATCCTCTGAACTTTCTGATGAAGGTATCAACTTTCAAACACTTAATGAATAAATAATTGTTGGTCAAATTTTGGGATGCAACATTGCTTCCCTAAAATCACCCTTTGAACTAAAGTACATTCCCACATCCCACTTGTAGTCTGACATGTCTTTTGGCTGTCTGAAAATTGGATGTTTTTTACTTAGAACTCCACTACTATCATCACTGTCACATCTACTTTGCATATCCTCACTGTCATTGTCACTCCCTTTATCTTCTAAAGACTTATCATTATGTTCTTGGACTTCTCCATTACATCATTTTCATGACCAATTAGGGTATCAAGTTCATCCTCCTCAATCTCATCACACCCATCAGACTCATCCTCAAAAGCCACATCTTGTGCACTATCATAATTGTAGTCCTCATCTTCACTATCATCAGAAGGTAAACTTAAGTCATCATCCACTACAGGTTTACCTTTTTCAACTCCAACATTACCTTCTTCCCCTGTAGGATTCCCTTGTTCAACTCCAACGTTAATTTCCTCAACTCCAACATTACCTTCTTCCCCTGCAAGATTCCCTTGTTCAACTCCAACATTAATTTCCTCAACTCCAACAGCATGTTCATCCACCGCAGGATTCCCTTGATCAACTCCAACATTACCTTCCTCCAACCCAGTAGTGGCTTGATCAACTCTAACATCACCTTCCTCCATCACAATAGTGGTTTGTTCAACTTCCACAACTTCATCATACAGTTGACTAAGTAACTCCTCCACCTCATCTATAATTTCAGCAAGGTCCTCATCAACTTCATCAACAACAACATCACAGTAGTCGGGTTGAGACAAGGTGTGTTCAATATAAATATCAACATTTTGGTGCACCCTATAAAGATTTGCAATTTCTAAAGCACCATTGTCATCAATAAGTGCATTCATCCTAAATTGAGGGTCCTTGTAAAGTATTGTTTCAAACTCCCTATAACCCAAGTCTTTCAGTACACCAACTAGCTCAAAATAACTCCATTTGTCTACATCTACTCTCAAATCATCTACTACTATATTTTCATATACACTAGGACCTTCATCGGTGAACTCACCACTATGATGAATTTTGAGATTTATGTATTCATCCATGATACCTAATCATATCATCTAAATAATTAGAGTTTACACTATATTTTTTACATAAACCCTAAATCTGAACCTCTAGCAGATATTGCCCTATCAGATTCGTAAACCCTAAATTAGAGAGAAATGAACTAACCTTTTGATAATGTCTCATTGAATCGTCTTTAATCCTTCGCCCTTAATCCTCTACATCTTTAATCCTTCGCGTATTGAATCCTTGAATCATCTTCAATGATCTATTGAGTTTACTGTAAAAATGTTTTATCTTCTAGGTAATGGAAACCAAGGTCAAATGGGATTTGTTTTAAGATATTTCATATCCACGTCAGCAACATCAAGTCTACCTGGACAAACATGGCACTTTTTTTCAAACTTTGACTAACAACAACAAACGGAAGGATAAATGTGACACCATTTTAAAATTTATAGGACCAACTTGCCACTTTTTAAAGTTAAGGGACCAAACTGCACCCCGAGCTAAAGTTAAGGGACGGAAAAAGTTATTTTTCCTTTTTTTTAATTGTAATCTTTTTCCGATCTTTTTTTTTCTTATTTATTTTATTATTATTATTTTATGTGGAAACCCTTTCTTTGTTCATGGCTTCATGGGCTTTTTAAAGCCCATATGTTATTTTCTTTTTCATACACCTTCTTGTTTATCTCCTACGCCTTAGATTTTGATCTTATTTGTGTTAATTTTAGTTAAATACTGATTTTGGTTTCAATCTCATTTTGATCATGGTTTTAATTAGTTTGATGTTAGATTATGATTTCAAACTTTGATTAACATTGTGATTTGGTGTTAATTTAGTGACCTTGATTTTATTACATTTTCATTAAATCATGTAGGTAGTTTTTTTATTGATTTCTCTTGGATTTTCTTTAGTGGGACAAATTAACTAAACTTTGGTTAGACTCTTGGTTGTTTAATCTTATGGATGATTTATGTGGAATATTTTTCATGCCTTGCTTGGAATGAGTTTCATGTTTTGTTGAATTCTTTCTTGAATGATTTGGTATTAACCTTCATGAGTTTATTGATACATACTTGAGACATTTGTGCTTGCTTGATCTTGATATTTGAAATCGCATATGAATTCTTATTGGTTGGTGTTGCTAAAATTTTCCTTGTGCATAAGTTGATTTGAATGTAGGAAATGATGTTGATGTATACACTTATGTTCTGAAGATAGGAGCTGTTAAGAGTTGTTCTTGTTTGCTTGCTGGAATTTATAATTGTGTTATGTTGAAGCGTTGTGGTTATTGCTATTTTTGGTTTGCTTTATACTCGTGTAACTTTGACACATCCTTTGCTATATCGTTGATGATATAAAGCATATTTAGGGTTTAGCATTTTCTATTATAACTTGTTGTTGATTGAGGATTCTTCACTCCTAGTTGTATGTTTGGCTTGTGTGCTAATTCAATTGATACTTTGGTTTTGATTGTAACCATTTTGTCATACTTTGTGGTGAGCGAAGAGTCACTCAGTCTTGCCTTTTGGCTGAGATCACGACATCGTTCTTTTGGTTGAGGAAGGGGAGTCACTCAGTTTTGTTTCTTAGCTGAGATCATGTTATCATTATTTTGTTATTGATTAGTATAACATTTACTTGTGCTTGTTCACATGATCCCTTAGGATTCCTAGTTCCACTTGATTTTTGATTAAGTTGGAGGTAGGAGAGACATTAGGCTTTAAATCCTTTGCATGGTAACAATTAGGGTAGTCCCTTTTTAACCTCAACTTTAGGTCCATCATTTGTATGATAATATTAGGTAGACTTTCCTTTCTATCCTCAACTTTAGGACCATTGTGCATGATAACATTAGGATTTAGTTTTCCTTAGTGTTTTCTTTTCAATCTTTGAGTCCTCTTTCATCTCATCTCAAAACAGTTTCAAAACACTTAATAAAGACGATGAACATTGTGCGCCACGAGCCTTAGGCATACGGGAAATGATTAGTGAGGGGTTTCTCCTTGCTTGTCTATAATGTTTAGTGTACGTCCCGTTTGGGGGCGATATGCAATGCATTTGTTCCTATATCATAGTCTTTAGTGCAATGTGAATCTCAAATCCAATCAATTCACTTCTCTAAAACTCATAAATAAACTGCAAAACTTTTTATCCTTCAGAATTGTCTTTCAAACTCAGTTTCAGAAAAGAGTACGTTATTTTTTTTGTTCTACCGCAAACAGGCATCGACCCTAACTGCTGAAATGGGAACTTAGTGTCGCTCATAAAAAACACTTAACAATTAGTTAGCCGAACTATGTTTACTTTGATTTCTCATACCACATGAGAATACGTAGGCACAAGACGGCAAAGTCTTGATGAGCGCCCTTTTCCCTTTTTCACTTGTAGTAAGTCAAACTACGTTTGCTTTAGTTTCTCATACAAGATGAGAATACGCAGGCACAAGACGGCGAAGTCTTGGCGAGTACCCTTTTCCCTTTTTCATCTGTAGTTAGCCAAACTATGTTTGCTCTGATTTCTCATACCAGATGAGGATATGTATGCACAAGACAGTGATGTCTTGGCAAGCAACCTTCCTTCATCATCCGTAGTCTTCCGAACTACGTTGACTCTGACTTTCCCATTGCACGAGGGAATACATAGGCATAGGGCAGTGATGTCCTATTGAGTCCCATTTTTTTCTTTTTCCTTTCCCGTTTCTGTTTAGCAGTAGGATTTAGATAACGCACCCTTTGATTATACAATAAGCGTGGATCCCATTGAGTACAACGAGTGCGAGGGGGTAATAATACCTTCCTCTCGCATAACCAACTCTCAAACCCAAGATTTGGTTGTGATGACCTTGTCTTCTCCCTTTCTTCAGGTTTTCTTCAATCATTTCCTTTCTCTGCGTTAGGATAAATAATGTTTGGTGGCAACTCTTCTGTTTTTTCCACCAGGAGTTTTTCGCAGTTGCAACAACCACTACTGTTGGGTTAATAACAACCATGTCAATCTTTTTTCATTTACAAATTCCCAGGCAGCAGCCTCAACCAAAGTCTTTGAAAGAGTGTACCAAAAATAAAAACACGAACATAAGTTAGCAAGAAAAAACGCATCATTCAATCCCTATAACCATAACAAAATCGCATGTCCCAGCTTCACGAGCTTCAGATTATTATTCTAAATAGAAAAAATAATGAAAACTTGTGATTCCCTACATAAATCTGGATCTGAATACCATGTCTCATTAACCATGACTTCGGGATTCTTCGGCCTTGTGTTAAATGCAACTGCAGAAATAGAAGAAGTAAAGATAACTCATTTCATAGATGGTGATTTAACACATAATTTAAGAACATTAAGAGTTCCCCTCACTGCTGGATCAATCAACTCAGCCAGAAATATAAAAATAAAAAATAACGGATCATACAATTACAAGCACACCATATTCAACTATTTGTGAACAATAGAATAGAGTGAACCTGTGGGTCATCTACGACAAAAAAAACAGGTGAATCAGTATGAAATACACCATCACATCCCTCAACAGCAGAGTCAAAGGAACCTTCTCCTAAAAGATCTGCCTTAAAGAGCTGCAACCTCTCTTTTGCACCATCAAGATTTATCAAGTGCTCAACCTTTTTAGGATCACCTATTTTCGCACCAATCAAATAATTGGAGCAAAAAGAACAAGAATATTGATGAATATTTATATATAGAGAAAGAAGCACTTACTTGGATTACGAACAATGGCTCTGACAGTGTAACTACATTTAAGAAGGAACTTGACAATCCATGAAGAAATAAAACCAGAAGCACATGTCACACAAACAACCTTTTCTTCTCCACTCATTATACTCTTTCTCTTTTTCTTTCACAAGTTTTGGACTACTCTTCACTATTATATAATAACATAATATATTACTCTTATCGGGATTTTATCAATAGTTTTTTTACCTAGTCTTGATAAAAATAATAATGAACACGTTAAAATATTTAAAAACTAAAATTTATCTCTAGTACGGTGGGCATGTTTGTTTGTTGTGATGAAGAAACTGAGAATCTGGCAAAAATGGATATGGCTCGCTTTCTCATTAGAACAAAATATTCTATGAACCTAAGTGAAACAATCAATGTTGAGATCAATAACAGAGTCTACAGGATCAAACTAGTTAAAGACATGTATGGTCCTAAACACATTGTTGTTCCAAATAAAAATGATGTGATTAGTGATTATGTGGTATGTGATTCGTCGTCGAAGGAAGACGATGACGACGGTGGCAGTGATTCAAGCGAGGGGGTGAATGAAGTTTCTTCTGGAAAGGATAAATGTTGGGATTCACAAAACCAAAATTCAAAATCCGATAGGGACGTTACACTTGATACCTTTTCTGCAGAAAAAGTTGGTACATCTCTTCATAGCACGACTCTAGTTACGGCTTTAGATGCAACTACCCTATTATTGGTTGTCGTGTCTCTTGAAAAGGGGAGTCTTAGAAACATTGATAGAGTCAAAAATAAAGTTAACTCTAGTTGTAAGGACAAACCATTTAATAAGGATAACCATCATGATTCTGTGTCAATACTTCCCTGCACTATTGTACTGTAGAAGTCTAACCCTGGTGTTGAACAGGTGGCTCATGGATTAGCAATTGGGTCTTCTAGTGACATATTGGGCTTGGAACCAATTTGTTATGAACCATTAACCTACTTTGACCCAATAAGTTGTTCACCTTGTGGGCCTGGCCCAATTGCTAGTGGATCTAAACCAAGGGAAAAAACTGATCAATGACGTCTACAACAGTACCAAGATACCTTTTTCACCTTCTTACTTCTCCCAACTTGTTCTCTCAAATCGTATTCACCCTTCCCTTCCCCATCCTTCTATCAGCATTTCTCCCCCCAACGCAACACTTCCTTGTCCTTCAGCGGCAGATTCGTCATCAAGATTCTTTAGTGTCTCCGTACTATGTTGTGAATCCATCAATGAGTAAGACGTAAATCAGGTTAATTCTCATGTGAAGCAAAGCATGGTTGATGTTCCTTCAAAGATTTGGAAATCAATTAAGGAACTAGGCATTAAGGGTGACAAAGACAACGAGGTTTTCAAAGGTATTATTAGAGATATGGAAAGCAGAGGCAAAAGAGCTTTTAATAAACTAAGGGAGGCAACTATCTTTGTCCCATGAATATGTTAACCTATAACATCTGTGGGTGTGGGAATTCTATCAATATAAATAGAATTAAAAAGCTTCTTCTCTCTGTTAACATCGATATCTGCTTCATTCAAGAAACTAAAAAGGAAACAATGGAAGACAAATTGATTTCATCACTCTGGTACGACAAGAACTTTAATTGGTCTACTTCTAATTTTGTTGGTTTATCTGGTGTTATACTTACAATATGGAAGAACTGTAACAGCCCAATTTTCAATAATTAATTATTTGTGTTAATTAATTGGTTTATTTGGATTATCCTAATTATTTGAATAATTAGATGATTGTTTAAATGGATTGATAGATGTTTTGAGAGAGGGAATATATTCGAAAGAAATAAAGAGAAAGATATATATGAGGAAGTGGAAAGAAAAAGAAAGAAAGAAAGGAAGAGAAAAGAAAGGGAAAGAAAAAGGAAGAAGAGAAAAGGAGGAGAAAAAGAGGAAACTTGGAGAATCATCAAGAACATCCTCTAGCTTCCGATTAATCAAGGTAAGGGTGTGAAATCTTGCTATCTTAATCAATGTGTATGATTATGTGTGTGTGTGTTTGGATTTGTTAGGGGTTTCCTACATTTTTCCATTTTAGGTCGGAAGTGGATTTAATCGGTAGAAACTGAGTTTTATCGGTTAGAATTTGGAATAGGCGGTGTAGTATAGTCGGGTGATGAATGGGCCGTGCTACTGGAACTGATTTGGATTAAATCGGTCGGTTTGTGAGGTTTGGGCTTTTGGACAGCCATGGGGGTTCTGATCTCGCAGGTTCGCCAGGCGAAAGGCATCGAGGCTTTGCTAGGCGAAGTCCAGTGAACGATAACAAATCAAGTCAGAACCAAACACCCTGTCTTCGTTGGCAAGTTCGCCAGGAAAATGAGTGTGGCGAAGGTTCGCCAGGCGAGTATGCTAGCGAGTGCTAGCTAGTAATTCAAGAATAATACCCAGTGGTCTTCGCTGGCAAGTTCGCCAGACGAACGAGTAGCGAAGGTTCGCCAGGCGAAGGTTAGCGAACACAGTAACATGTTTTCTTTTCTTGTGCTTTCCATTCGTGGATTGATTGTGTGGTTTGGTTGCGATCATTCCTTGTCTGAGATGACTAATTATATGTTGTTATGTGTGTTGTGGGTAGCCGTATGGCGTGAATCCTAGATTATGAATTGATTGTGAATATGTGGCCTTTTGGCATATGTGACGCATTGTTTAAATTAATTGAAAATGCATGATGGATGTGATTGAGTTTATTGTCGTTTGGCACGATATTTACAAGTGCATATTGCTCGTATGTGATGTATGATGATTGTAAATGTGAACCATGTTTAAATTTTGTGAGTGCATAATAAATATATGCGATTAACATGATGAATGCATGAGTATGTTTGTAAACATGTGTGCATTTCAAGAGTGTCATGAGTCATGTTGCATGTGAAGCATCATGGTATGCATTCTTGTGTGTCTGATTCCTCGGAGAATCTGCAGAACCTCGTGTGCCCTTGTGGGGTGTGAGCGATGGTTATTTTATTGATCCATCGGAGGATTTGCAGAACCTCGTATGTTGTGATGGTTATATTGATTCCTCGGAGAATCTGCAGAACCTCGTGTGCCCTTGTGGGGTGTGAGCGATGGTTATTTTATTGATTCCTTGGAGAATTTGCAGAACCTCGTGTGCCCTTGTGGGGTGTGAGCGATGGTTATTTTATTGATCCCTCGGAGGATTTGCAGAACCTCGTATGTTGTGATGGTTATATTGATTCCTCGGAGAATTTGCAGAACCTCGTGTGCCCTTGCGGGGTGTGAGCGATGGTTATTTTTGGTTCTTCAATTGAACCTGCTGAAATGAGTCGGTACCGCATTTGCATCTGCATAGAGTCGTGTGTCGGTCTCTATGAGTTGCATGTTGTCATCTTCATATGATGCATTGGTGAAATAAACATGAATGTAGATGTTTATGTGAATTAGCAATGGAATAAACATGTTGTAAATGTTTATGTGAAAATGATGTGAATTATAGAAGTATGATTGTATATGCTTATATGATTTGCGGTAAATGAAACATAACGTATATGTGATTGTTAGGAGAAGTGTGCATATGTGTATATATATATATATATATATATATATATATATATATATATATATATATATATATATATATATATATATATATATATATATATATATATATATATATATATATATATATATATATATATATATATATATATATATATATATATATATATATATATATATATATATATATATATATATATATATATATATATATATATATATATATATATATATATATATATATATATATATATATATATATATATATATATATATATATATATATATATATATATATATATATATATATATATATATATATATATATATATATATATATATATATATATATATATATATATATATATATATATATATATATATATATATATATATATATATATATATATATATATATATATATATATATATATATATATATATATATATATATATATATATATATATATATATATACGATATGTTGATGTGGGAGTGGTGAGTGTGTGAATTGATTGAGAAATGTGGCATATATGTATTTTATGATTGTTTATATACATAATTATATGCATTGTTATTATGGTAATATTTATCACCCTTCTGCTGTTTTATGATGCTCTATGAGGCATTGCAGATTAGGATTGCTGGAGGTGTATTTTGGAGTATAGCTCCTTTTCTCTTGAGTCGGCCGCTCTGATATGTAACGTCGGGTAGCTAGGCTTGTAGAGTATCTTCGTGATACATTATATATATGTAATAGTTGATGATTTTTGGTGAACTGTGATTGATGTTATGAACAACCTAATGACGTGTACTTGTATTTTATCATGTCTTATGTAATTCAATGTTTTAGTCTTCCGCTTTAACAGAAAACATGAATATGCTTATTTTAAGAACCATGCGCTTATTGTTTTTAGTTGAGATTTACCCTTTTTAAATTATTTCTTTATAAACATTAATATTCATGTGGTCGTTTCGTGAGTAATGTGACGCACTTCTTTTATACCATGAAATAAATATACTCTGATGGAATTTTTAATTCGTGCCTAAATGATTTAATTGTGTTATTTGGGGGTATAGAAAGGGGGTGTTACAAGAATGACATGTTACAAGAATGACATCATCTGCCATATCTCATGCTTTAGAGGTAAGGGATTCTTGGGGATTAATGTTACATGAAATGGCCTCAACTGCTACTTTGTCAATGTTTACTCACCCTGCAACCTCCACGATAAAAGGACTTTTTTGTCTTCACTGTTAGACGCAAGATCTTCTGCCCGCAACCTCCATGATAAAAGGACTCTTTGGTCTTTACTGTTAGATGCAAGATCTTCTGTATCACCTAGGGAATGGCTTATTTGCAGATACTTTAATGCAGTAAAAAGCAAAGAAGAAAGAAATGGTAAAGGGGCGGGTTGTGCAGTTGAGATGGATGACTTTTGCTCATTCATAGATGATATGCGCTTGGTCGATCTGCCTGCTGTTGGAAATTATTTTACTTGGTTCAATAGTAGCGGCAGTTGTCGTAGTAGATTAGACAGATTCTTATTATCAGATGGTTTAATTGACAA